GCCTTCACCAGACTGAAATCAAGGTGTCAGTGCAGCTAAGCTTTTATCTAGAGGCTCTGGAGAAGAATCTGCTTCCAAGTTCATTTACATTGTTGGCAAAATTCATTTCCTTTTGGCTGTAGGACTGAGGCCCCCCTTCCTTGCAGGCTGTCAACTGGGAGCCTCTGTCATCTCCTAGAGGCTGCCTGCTTTTCTTAACACAGCTTCCATCTAGCAATGGCATATCAAATCCTTCTTATGCTTCAAATCTCTGACATCCTCTTTTCCCAGCTGGAAAAACTCTGCTTTTAAAGGACCCATGTGATTAGGTTAGGCCCACCTGGATAATCTCCATGATTAGAAACTTTAATTACATCTGCAAAACCCCTTTTGTTGTATAATGCAACATAATCATAAGTATGCTATCTCATCATATTTAGTGCCCTGATGATCAGGGCAGGAAATCTTGGGGGAGTATTTTAGTATTCTTCTTACCACAGTTATATTCTGCCTGTTTAAGTAACTGACCAATCAATGTATGCCAGCAATAGTACTGGAGCAGGGGTGTGAAAAATACCTGCTGTTCCAGGTGTTACCCTTTACTTTCTGGATCATGTGGTGGTCTGGGGGCATCCCAGAAGGAACTATGGAGTGGCAGCTATTTACCAACTGGTATGGAAATACTTCAGTATTTTAATAATTGGATGCCATATCAGTGCACAGCAGTTGGTTGTCTGCCTGGTTAGATTGTTACAAATCACAGTGTAGTATTTGAAGTGCTGCCTTCCTCTCTGTGCTTTGAGAGTCTGAAGTTGGTGCCAGGTGATGGGGGAGACCACCTGCCCCCCTTGGCACTTCCACAGTGTACAATGGCCCCTTCCAGGCTCACCTGCTGTCTTTGTGGTGCTGGGTTGGTTCTGATGAATGTCTTAATTTGCTTGGCTGTCTTCTGGAGTGGAAGAGTCCATCCACCAGTTCATGTGAGCCTCTAAATACTGCCACCTCAAGGGAGATAACCAATCCTGTGTGTTTGCACTCTCCCCAAGCCACCCAGCAGATGTGGCTCAGGGAGGCAAGTGCTGTTTACTTACTCGCAGAGTTAAAGTGAACACTTCACTGCAGCCAAAGAAACTGAGGGTTCTTATTAACTTGGTGAATAAGGCTGTATCACAGATCATCATAAAGCTTCATGGTTTGTGAGGACCAATCGCAGGCAACTGAGATGCCTTTTGGGTGAGCTGGGGATAGGAATAGGGCCGAAGGTAAATGAATTTTGTGGGACTCATCGGTCTCTCCCACCTACTAGTTTTATATGGGTGAATGTGATTAAAATGTCATCCAGGGCAGTTTGACTCAATGAAGCCTGGAGCATACACATCAGGAACCAGCAGCGTCAAGGTGGGTGTGTTGAAAGAAATGTCACAGAGGGAAATAAGCAGTTTGATGGAGATGTAAGGATAAAGGGAAGAGAGTAATTCACTGCTTATTGCAAAACAATAATAATATACAGTATGGTCAACTTCACCTGCTGATGATGGCTGGGACCACAGCTGATGCTGGCTGGGCCTGGGGTGACCCCTGCTTCCTCATTTCTGGAGGCTGACTCCACCCATGACTGTGGTGGAGCCTCCTCTGGCCTGGAAATACAAATTGCTGTAGAGTCACATTCCACTCCACCAGCAGCTCTGCACACTTCCCAGAGCACTGAGAAGGAACTCAGCCCATGAAGGGATTGCTCTTACCTGCTGTTCTTGAGCTCTGTCCTAGAGGGTACATGGAACACATTCACAGTGAAGCACATTGACCACCGAGTCTCTACTTAGACTGAGTCAGCCTGTGATATCTTTTGAAGTAGAAGGGATTTGTCTTCAGTGGCTTTCCTTTCTGTAACGTTTCCCCCATACCAGGACCCTTCTAAAAATTGCATTCACTCACTACTCAAGTGGAAATGTTGCAAGAGGCATCAAATCTACTTGCTGTTCTTTACCACTTAAACAGACCTAGGTATTTTTGGAATCAGGTCACCTCAATATCAGGATCCCACTAGATCAATTTCCAAATGTTAAAGAAAGGTACATTACCAGGGGACCCCAAAGAAGCAGGTAGTATCCAGAATGGTTGGCCATGACTCCAGATGTGTGAGATTGTATAGATCCTATTCAGACCGTCTGCCTGCAACCCCTCACCCCCACCAGCTCTCTCCCAAGCCAAGGTGCAGCAGTAGGTGGTATGAAGACACAACTTACCACCAGCAGGTGGTGACAGAGAGCTGAAGTTGATGATTTTCACCCTTCCTAGTAAAATGTCACTGAGCTCAGTGGGAGACACACAGCCCTGCATTAGGTGACAAGAAAATCTCTTCCTTTTCCACTACCATTAGAAGCAATCAGCTGCAAGACACCCAGGGAGAAAGTGACAAATACTTTGGCATGAATATTGCTCTTTGACAGGGGTTAGAGGGTTAAGATGCTAGGTGTAGAGGTAGAAAAAGAAAACCCTGAGGTTCTATGCCCGCTCCCCTTATATAGAGAGAAAAGGAGTGAGCATAGACTGTTTCAGAGTTCTTGGTCTAGTAGGGTTTGAAATATCGAGAGAGAGAATGAAATTAAACTATATTCCATTTCAAATGCAACAGATCTGGCAGGGATATTAAAGACCATACAAATAGCCAACAGGCACATGAGAAGGTATTTAACATCACTAATCATCAGGGAAATGCAAGTCAAAACCACAACGAGATATCACCTCACACCTGTTGGAATGGTTATTACCAAAAAGACAGATAAAAAGTGTTGGTGAAAATGTGGAGAAAAGGGAGCCTTGATGCACTGTTGGTGGGAATGGAAATTGGCGCAACCACTATGGAAAACACTATAAAGGGTCCTTAAAAAATAAAAAAAAACAACTACCGTCTGATTCAGCAATTCCACCTCTGGATATATATTTGAAGGAACTGAAATCATTATCTTAAAGAGATATCTGCACCCCTTTGTTCATTGCAGTATTATTTACAATAGCCAAGATATGGAAACAACCTAAGTGTCTGTTGACAGATGAATGGATAAAGACAATGTGGAAAATATATATTTATATACACACACACACACACACACAGGGTATTATTAATCCATGAGAAAGAAGGAAGTCCTGTCATTTACAACAATATGAATGAAACTGGAAGGCATTGTGCTTAGTGAACTAAGCCAAAAACAAATACTGTGTGATCTGTTATATGTAGAATCTAGAAAAAGCTAAACTCACAGAAACAGAAAGTAGAACGGTGGTTGCCAGGAGCTGGGGTTTGGAGGAAATGGGGAGATGTTGGTGAAAGGGTACAAATGTTTAGTTATAAGATGAACAAGTTCTGGAGCTCTAATATACAGCATGTTAACTATGGTTAACAATACTGTATTGTATACTTGAAAGTTACTGAGAGAATAGATCTTAATATTCTCACCACAAAACAACTGTTAGGTGATGGATATGTTAACCTTGTTATGATAATCATTTCACAATATGTGTGTTATCAATCATCACATTGTACACTTTACACTTATACGATGTTATATGTCAACCTTATCTCAGCAATGCTGGGGGAAAAAGAACATCCATTCCAAACCCCTCACTTTTTGGATGAAGAAACTGAGGCCCCAAAAGGGGAAATAAGTTACTCAAGGTCATACAGTTATAAATGACAGAACCTGGAGCCCCTCGTCTTCTACCTCCTCATATATTTTTTCACTATACTCCCCTTCCTTCTTCCCTACTTAAGCACTAAAGATTTAAACCATCCTAGTAGATAATCTTAAATTTTTATTTTTAAAAAATTCTCCAAAGAAAGAAATTTGACAAATCCACCTAGGAGAATATATTTCATTGCCATTTAGGGTTAGGAATTCTTCCAAACAGATAACTGAAAAGTCTCCTGCTGCAGCATAAACCCATTGCTCTTTGGTGCATCCTTAGTGGAAATGGATCACAGATTTTTACTGTCATCAAAAAGATTTATTAAATATGGACAGTGTGTATGTATACATATATATGTAACATATGCAAGTATACATATGTATGTGTAACCAATAATTTAAGCTGCTTTTCTGCAGGCTCCTCAGTGGCACACCAGACCTGAGAAATAGTATCTATGAAGGATGACAGGACTCAGGTCTTTTCATTCTGTGCCTTCTGTGCTATAGCAAAAACAGATGGGCCTGTGGGGTTGATCTAGTATCTTAATATAAGTTAAACACCCAATTTTACTGATACCCAACTAAACAAGACCTCGGATAGCCAGAACTGCTCTGCTTATACTCCATTTCTAGAAACAATAGGCAGAGCACAAGAAATAAGCGAAGGTTAGATATTTACTTTGGCATCAAAAACCAGGGTGAGGCCTAGACTGATGTTGTATCCTGTATCTTCACCATTTCTAGTTTAAAGTAATCAATATTACTGTTCCAAATGATAACTTCATGGTCAAAAAAGATTCAGTGATGGACTCAAGTCAGGAGTTTCTCACAATAGAGTGCAGTTACTCATATATCCTTGATCAAAAAATAGTCACTTTCTGACTGGGAAGGTAGTCTTTGGCAGTGAAATGCTTTGTTTTTGGAGGGAGATGTTTGCAGTGAAGAGGAAGATCAGGCACTCCGAACCAGAGAACTGGGTCAGCTCAGTCAACCCTGGAGTTTAGTGGGGTGACGTGTTACAGCCAAACTGCGCTCATACCTCCTGAGCTCTCCTTACCAAGGCAAGAAAATGGATTCAGAGACTTAAAAATATTTTAAACGGGTAACCAGCCAGTATTATTAACTGGAACATCCTCGGCTAGATTACTGAGATTCAGTGGACTAAGAGTCCAAACTGAGTTGTCTTATAAAGAAAGAATTCAATCCAACAACTGGGAAAGCTAATGCAACTTAATAGAGGCAGCAAGACTGTTTCATTGAGCTTCTAATGGGCTCCATGCCAAGGTGACCACCCTTGAAACCAAGTAAACATCCTTGTAAAGCAGAACTACTTACCGCAATCAGTTGGTAGGAGTTGTTCATCATGGCGATCAGCATGTTCAGCAGCACCACCAGTGAGATGACGTTGTAGGTCCCAAACATGGTAGCTCCCACAAACTCCGTGAACTCGTGTCTGGCTTTCACATTGGTGACGTAGAGATTTAAAAGACCAAAAACAGACCAGAAGAGTGACTGAAGGGTTTCAAAGAGCCTAAAAAAGATCAAAGAGCAGGTTTATTAATTCTCTAGGAACAGCAAGAAAAAGAGAGAGAAAATCGAAAGTAATCTGCTTAACAGGAGGCTGCCAGATTTGCGCCCCAACAAGCAGACTGATAATCTCACATATTTTGGTCTCTTCCCCCAAACATACCAGCCAGGTCCGTTCTTTCTGCCATTTGTTCCCACTTCTGTGCCTTATGTTTTGTCCTTCCTCCTGGAATACCATCTCCCTCTTTTCAGTCTAGGCAGCACCTATAATTTTCTAAGACTTATTTCAAGGGCTATTTCTTCCACCCATCTTTCTCTTTTATCTTGAAACCATGTGATTCACCACTTTTCTAATTACATAGAGGCAGTAAGTGCAGGGGTTAAGAATATGGTGTTTGGGTTAAGTTGGCTGTGGGTTAAGATCTCAGCTCTGACATTTGCTAGCTAAGTGAATGTGAGCAAGTTACCATTTCTGATACTCCTTTTGTAGTTCCCACAGGGCCCAGAGTGGTGCTCAGCTCAGTGGAGGAACTTAAGGATTCTCAGATTAACTCTTTATGATATACTAACAGTCATTGAGAACTCACTAGTTATTATAAGCACGTTAGGTACTTTTACATACATTATCATTACGAGCCTTATAAAAACTTCCTTGTTACTGCTGAGGAAACAGAAGTTCAGGGGCCCCCAGCTATGAGTGCTGAGCCAGAATTCGAACCCAGGTCTGTCTGACCTCCGCAAAGCATTGCATTATTCTATATTAGATGGCTTCACAAACTATTCCTTGTGCATAGTCTCCACATCCAAATATGTAGCTTTGCAATGACTCGTTTCTGGTGTCTAGGGTTTCTCTTGCCTCACAGTTAGTAATCTGGGCACACAGCAATAAAATGTAGCCGGCTCATAGGGAGCCCAACTTGGCTTCTTCCCAAGCACACAGAAGAGGTGCAGAACCTGAGAAACGCTACTTTAAGAATAGATGTACTTTAAGAATTTTCAGTTGTTTTTAAAATGTATTGTTTTTAGAGCCTGAAATATATTGTTTTCACTGAAGTCTCAGCTGAAATGTCACTTCCTCAGAGAGGCTTTCCTTGGTCACTCTACTAGTTATTCTCTATCCCATTGTCTTGTTTCATGTCTTTGTAGCACTTAGAACCCCCAAAATAATATTATTAAGTTATTCTTTGTTTAACTGTTTATTTATTTTTTTGTTGGTTCCCACTAGGATGTAAGATCTATGAGGGCAGAGACATTTAGCTACTATTACCTGACATATAATAGGCCTGTCAATAATATCTGTTGAGTAAATGAATGCGTGCATGTTAGCTAGTACTATTATCAATGGATTACAGTCTAGGAGATTCCTGTCCCATTGACGTTTCACGGTCAGTAGGCTGTACAATGGGGTTAGTTCATTTTGAAGAAGGCTGTGCTCTGTGCTGGTCTGACTCTCTTTCAGAGCTGCCTGGGTAACCTGTTAAATGGCTCTTCTCTGATAATCGTAGGTAACTCCATGATCTTTTTAGCATCACATTACTTGTGAGCTAGCCTAGAAGGAAGGGATTTCCTTTTTGTTTGATGAAAGTAAGTGCCAGTTGGTGAAGCATGTGAGAATCAACAGGAAGACAAGAACCTGGGATTCAGGGCAAGGGCACAAGAACCAGAATATGGTAAATCAGACCTATCACAGGATCTGAATTTCCAGGAGACTCTAAAAGTCAGGAGCAGGCAATATAATGCATCACAGAATCAGGAGGCAGAGGGTCAAAAAATGAGAAAGATATGGGGTTTCAGGAGTCTAGTCCTACTAAGAGGGCACAGCCAGGACCATTTGAAGTCAGAGCAGGCAGGAGGCCAGCAACGGCATAGATAGCTAGCCTAGGACCTGGCTAACAGGAGCTGGGGCAGATATGGCTCTGAAAAACAGAAAGCAGCTGCAGAAAATGGGAGTAACACTCTGAAGAATCAGGATCTCTGGAAGTTGAGTGACCTTGAATACAGAAAGCATTCAATAAGCATTTGTACATTGCATGACAGCAAAGCCACAAGCCTGGGCACATATGTCATCAGTATGTATGTCATCAGTATGTTGGCATGGTCTTCACTGGTTGCTTCTCCTGAATGGATTATGTCACCTTACACTTCTTCACCTCTACGCCTGTAACCATTAAAATTGCAATGGCTAATGCTCGAGTGTAAAGTTTACTACCAGCTGTTCAAATGATTGATACTAAGATTCTTTAAAAGTGAAAGTCCAGGTCTTTAAAATCTGCCCTCAATTTTGGGCGATATTCTAGCCATGGAGACCCTTTGGTATAATTGTACAAGAGAGAAAAAGGGGGAAAAAGGTCATTCCTCAGTAGTGAGAACACCCTCACATGGTGCATGCAAGATCCTAATGTGGTCCTGGCCACTAGAAGAAGCTGCTCGTTGAAAGACATGCCCAAGTAAAATGCATGACCGACAGGTGGGGGTGGAGAGGAGCATTCTGGTGAGAAATTTATAGGAGGCTCTGTCGCTTCTAGACTAAGTTGAATTCATAGGAAAAAGGCCATTGCCTGGGGGTGGGGAGGGCATCACTTGGTGGCCAGGTCCATAATAAAATCATCAAAGAGATGTAAAGACTTGTGGACCAAACCCTAGGATCCTAGTACCAAAGGAGTATCTTTTTTATTTTAAAATATGGAGAGGACCTACCCCTCTGGACTTAATGCAGACAAAGGAAGAAGAACTGGAGGTTGAAGTGGAAGAGAAAGTCTCCTTGGGAGAAAGCAGTGACATCATCCTGTAGTTCACAAGTTGGGCTTTGATAACCCACATGGAGCAAAGGCATTGGACATCTCTTTGGCCTCATCTGCACCCATTCTGCAGTTCCCTGCAGTTTTACCTTGCCTTTGACAAAGCACCTAATACTGCTTTGCCTGCTGAATGGAATGCTCCCACAATGCTCGCAACCTCTAGACTCCATTTCTATGTCGTCTCCTTCTCTGCTCAACTCCTGTTTGATCTGCCAGGCTCAGCTGAAACCGTACCTCCTCTTGAGCCTGCAAGGCTGGGTTAGGTGCTCCCCTTTGCTTCTCCCATAGGACCCTTACCTCAGTCCAGAAAGGCATATATCGCACTCTTGAGGCAGGAGAGGGGAGTGACTGAGAGCAAATTCTAGACTCCACCACTAATTAACTATTTGACTTTGGGAAAGTTACATAGCCTCTTTAAACTTCAAGTTTCCTCATCTCTAAAATGGTTATTGGTAGGATAAATACTAATTCCTAACATTTATTGTGCTCTTACTATGTGCCAGGCATTGGCATGACTAATATTTGATTCTCAGAATAACCCTATCAAGTAGCTACTCTTACCCTATTGCTATTAACCATGTTTTCTTTTCAGATGAGAAACTGAGGCTCAGAGTGATCACACAGGCAGGAAGTGGCAGAGGTAGGACTTGCACCTGTCTGTTCTGTCTCAGAGCCCAGACGCTTAGCCACCTCTTCTATCACACAAGATACGGTGTGGAATGCAGTGGACACGGTGCTTGGCGTATAATTAGAAATGGAGGCTATTCTAATTGTTTACTTGTGTTCTCAATTGGACTATGAGCTTTGTGAAGATAAGAAAGCTGTGTTAGTGTCCCCACAGCCTGGCACACAGCAGTTGCTGGATAAATGTTTGTTGAATAAATTTGAAAAAGACAGAAGCACATAACTAAGGAAAGTAGAGAAAAAGAAAGAGAAGAGCCTTTGATGGGGACTGAGTTTGTATCCATGTAACTAAGATGGGACAGTAATGGCCTGCATGGGTAGAGAAATGACCTCAGATTAAGGAGGAATAGCCACAAACGAGTGGTTATTCATTTAGGCATGGACAATAAGGAGGTCCCAAGTGACCTGCTAGGTCTCAGGTCTCTTCTATTTACCTTTACATGTATTCATGATTATTGCAACTTTACACAACAAATTTTCCATAATTTTTCAAAACCAGTCTTATGGCTGCCCTGGATAAAAGTGCAGACTGGAGCTTGTATGCCTGGATTTAAATCCTGACTCTGCCAACCATCTGTGTGACTGGAGGCAGCCTGCTCAACTGCTTTATACCCTAATTTCTGCATTTGTAAAAATGGTTACTAAAATAGTGCATACCTCCTAGCATGGTTGTAAGGCCTAAATGAGTTAACTCATATAAAGTTCATTTTGTAATAGCACCTGCCCCTTGCACTCACTACATATTTGTATGACTATTATTAACCTTCCACCTAAATACTACCTTGTTGTTTTACATTTCTTTTTTGTCTTTACAGATTGTCCTGCATTTGTATATCTAGTTGTATGTAGTTGCAATCTTGGTGTATACAATTTTTGTGCTTTAAAAAATTATACATTTTATAGCACAGAGAAGACAAGTAGTGATTCTATAGCATCTTTCTATGCTGATGGACAGTGACTGTAATGGGGTATGTGGTGGGGTCTTGATAATGGGGGAAATCTAGTAACCACAATATCATTCATGTAAGTGTATACTAATGATACCAAAACATAAATTATACATTTTCGGTGTGACACTTTTTGCTTTATGAGTGCTTTGAATGAGAAGAGATGGCCAGCTTCTTAGATCTTCAGATGACACAAGACTGGGAGGGATAGCTGATGAATTGTATGACAGGATCAAGATTTCAATAGCCTCAGGCAATGGGCTGGAACTAACAAGATGAAATTTAATAGAGATCAGTGTCAAGCTTTGCTCTTGGGCCAAATGCCCAAATTCAGAATGAGGGAGGTAGGAGAAAGGCCCAGGGTTTTTGTTGACAGCAAGCTCAAAGTAGATGAGCAGAGTGACAGCTGGCTAGATACTTCAGCCATACAAGGGCAGCAGAAGCAGAGATAAATCTAGAATTAAAGATACGATGGGCATGTGTTGAGCACCTTTATGTCTTAGGCTCCTCTGTGGTAGGTGCAAGGCTTACTAAGGTGGTGGTCTCTGTCTGGTGGGTGAGAGAGACAATAAGTA